GCGCCGTGGACCCAGACCCTTGGGGATCGTTATTTCCAGCCTTCACCATTCCGTCAACCTCGTTTAGTCATGTGTGTCCTCGTCATTTCCAATGTAAAGACTGGATTTCTAGGAAGGGACTTGCTGAGTCTGAGGGTTCGCAGGTTTGTAATTTTTAAATACCCAATTTGTCCTCCGTTTGGCATTTACCTAAAGACACCTCTGCCAGTGATGGACAGGAGGGTTGGCTCTTCTGGAAACAAACCCCAGGGTGTCCTTGCGGGGCTCTGTGCCCTTCCATGGCTCCCCACTGCTTGAAGGGCTATGCCCGGCCTCCCACTGGGAGGCCTTGGAAACCCACCACCCTCTCCCCCTTGTCCTCCACACAGGTGACTTCTACTTCTCCTCCCAGTCTCTGCTTTGCTGGTCCCTCTGCCTGGAACTCCCTCCCTCCTTAACTCAGCCTGGCCAACACCCTCTTGACATGCCCTTCAGCACTGACATCACCTCCTTCCGGAAGTCCCCCATGCCTGGCACACAGCAGGCACTCAGTAAATGCTGCTGGCACAAATGAATGGATGAAGGAATGAGGTGGGAAAAGGGAGGGGGCGGGCTTATGGAGCAGCTGAGGGGTCTATAGGTCACAGGGAGGAACAGGGCTCCCTCCTGGGGCAATGGGGAGCCAGAGCAGGCTTTGAGCAGGGGGAAGGCAAGTTGAGAAAATGTCTCTTATTTGCAGGGGCACCTTTTTGGGCCATGAGCCCTTATTAACAGAAGTTTTTAAGGTCACAAGATCACACACCTAGGATGGTGAAGGAAGCCCATCAGAAACCCATTATACTGGGATACAGTTATCAAAACCTGTTTTAATTGGGATGGAATGTGGGCATCTTTCTTAACACATTAAATAGGAAGGCGCAGGGCAGCTCCAACGAGTAGAAGCAGGGGGAGCAAGTGCGATTCACGTTTTTCCTTCTAAGGAAGAGCTCCAGAATTCTATTTGCAAACCCCTCGGGTGTCTGGGGACCCTGGTGAATCCCTCCCCCAGATGTGGGGATATGGTAAGAGCACCGGAAGGTGAGCAAACTTCACAGAGGTGTCACTGAGAGAGACAGGAGTGATTTCCAGGGATGATGGACAAGCGTCCAGACAGACAAGCATCCGGCGGCTGGGCCATCTGTTCAAAGAAAAACAGGAAGACTGCACTTTGCCCTTCTGGCCTCTCTGGGCCCAGCCCAGCCTTTGTCTTTGTGACTTTAACTCCCAAAGGCAGGCCGGGAGCCCCTGAGCCGGCTTCCAACTTCCTTCCCAGCTCCAGAAGCAGCAGGCAAAACAGCCCGACCAGGCGGCATCACCCAGGTTCTGTACTGTCCCGACAACACTTCATGGTTCCCCATCACAGCCCCATAGGGCCAGCTCTGAAGGTAATATCCCATTTCACAGGTGAGGAGACTGAGGTCCATAGAGGCCCGAGGTCAAGGTCACCCAGTCTGGGTGTGGCCAAGCTGGGACTGGAATTCAGGTCTCTTTGGATTCTAAGTCCTGCCTGTGGCCATTCCTGCTTGGAGTTCACCACCTGCTTCTAGACACCTCTCCATTCATTCATTCATTCATTCAACAAGTGATTCACCAAGTTGCCAAAATCATCTGAAGAGCCAGGGTAGAGAGTTCCTTAAATACAGCAGACTCAGTTTTGAGTTTTATGACTCAAATGTGTGCTTTGAGAGGGTGGCTGCTTCTCTTAGTCTCAGTTTCCTGCACCTGCAGGCTGATGACCTCATGTGATGAGACAACCCCTCCCCCACGAGGTGGGGGCTGGTTAGTAGGAGCCTGCATACAGCAGGTGCTCAGGAGATGCCTGTTGAACAGATGGCCTTTGCATCCTGGGCCCACCACCTGGGCTTACCCGCACACTACCCCCTCCTCCACCTACCTCTCCTTGTGGCAAGATTAGGGCTTTCCTTGTGCCTGTGGGCAGAAGGGCTGAGGGCAGGGCGAGGGTCCTGAGCGGGCTGAGCCTGTCATTCCTGTCATTGGCACCAGGGGGCAGTGGGTTCCTACGTTCAGCTTTCCTCTACCCGCCCCCTGCACCCCTCACTCAGCTGGGGAGGTTGAGACATTTATCCTCCTGCTATGGGGCTGGCTTCTCCCACCACACTGATGGTGGACATAGTAGGCACTAGGGGACAGGGAGGTGTCAGAGTCCCCTGACCACCAGACCCCTGTACCACTCTGCCTCATTCATTCTCTTATTGAGCACCTAGTATACACACAGCCCTATGCCAGGTGCTGGGGACATAACCATGAATAAGGCAGAGAAAAGTCCTTGTTCCTCATGCACGAGCTGACATTTGAGTGAGAGAGATGGGACACCAGGGAAACAGGGATTTACAACTGAGTGTAGTCGGGGCTGTGATGGGGAACCCCAGGGGTTGGAGGCAGGAGGACCCAGAGGAGCCCCTGAGCCAGCTTGGGCAGGGGAGGGAGGGGGTCGAGGAAGACCTAAGAACCAATAGAAGTTCGTTCAGGTAAAGAGCAGGGGAACCAGCATTCCAGGCCAAGGGTATGGCCTGTGCCAAGGGCTGGAGGCACCTGCTCCCTGCCCCCACACAGAAAGACAGGCAAGCATACCGATAATGCTGCACGGACTCAGACGGTGAGGTTCTAGAACAAGCACTGAGCAGCCACTCAGGGGAATGGAGGAGAGAGAGGCCGGAAACAGATCTTCATGGAGTGCCAGAAGTCAGAGGAGGGAGTGAGTGGAACAGCATTCTGGGCAGTGGGAATAGCAGGGGTGCTGGTGTGAAGAGAAGCTATCTTGGGCTCCACTCCATCACTCACGGGAAGAGAGGCTCAGCCCCTGCCCGCCTCCTCAGCCCCACCCCCACCCGGCCTAGCCATCTCCCACCTGGACAAGGGCAGTCCCTCCTCCCTGGTACACAGGCATTGTCCCCATATCCTATAGTCTATTCCTCTGTGCAGCCAGAGGAGAACAAAGTCCCCGCCAAGCTTGGCCTCTGAGCAGCTGCTGGGGTCACCCTCACCCCACCTGGCTGAGTCAGGCCTGGCGTGCCCTGAAGAGGAACTGTCTCACCAATCAGGTCTGGTAGGCACCAGGGCAGATAGCAAGCTCCAGGCGGCGGGGGCAGGGCCTTTCCTTGGAGGGATCTTTGAAGCAGGCCTTCCACCCAGGTGGAGCTTGGAGTCACGGGGCTCGCAGCCCCCACCGGCTCCTGGGTGGAATCAGTTCCCACAAGGGCCAGGAGCTTGGCACTCCCAAGCCAGGTCTGTGTCTAGTGCTAGGATGGGCCTCAAGCCCCCCGTGGAGGAGATGAGGAAATGGAAACTCAGAGAGGTTGAAAGATCGTCCCTGGGCCCCACAGCCCGGCCCGGGCTGGGGCTCTGGGGGTATTTGGAAACACACATTTCAGGATCAGGCTCCCCCAGTAACAAATCTGGAATCACAGATCGGACTCTGGCTTGCCGGGTAAAATGGGGCAAGTCGCTCTGCCTCTCTGGGCCTCAGTTTTCTCATCTGCAAAAGTGGGGTAGTAATGGCAGCCCCGTGTGGGAAGGGGAACAGCATGTGCGAAGCGGGAGCTGTGCTCTAGGGCTCAGAGGACATTGAGGATGTGAGCAGCTGGAGAGGTGGGTGAGGAGGGAGGGGACGAGGGCGGATCATGCAAGGTCTTGTGGGCCTTGGGGAGACTTTGGCTTTTACCCTGAATGAGGTAGGAGCCAGGGAGGATTCTAAGCAGAGGAGGGACCTGACCTGATTCAGGTGTTTCTGGGCTCTTTCTGGACACTGAGGGGAGAACAAACTGTAAGGGCCAAGAGCAGGAGCCGGGAGACCCGCCATGATGGGGTGTGGGCTGGAACGAGGCAGAGCGGAGGGGAGAAACCCACCAATTTTTGCTCATATTCATGTTTCTTGCCCAGCCTGGCTCCCAGGAGCCCAAAGGTGAGGCAGGGACTTTAGCCCAGGATGGCTGCTGGCTGGGGTGAGGGTGACATGGGGTGGGGCACAGCAGAGGGATGGGCGGGGTTACACCTGGAAGCTCCTGGTGGAAGTGGCTGGACCACTCAGACAAGTGCAAGTGCGTGGGCTGCTGACAGATACACATGTCACATGCCAGGCTGGGAAACAGCCCTGCTGTGCCCTCTAGAGCTTGGGGTTGAGTGGCAGGGTATGAGGGTTCCCGGGGAAATCGAAGCTTCCCTTCTCTGAGCTCAGGATCTCATACTGATCCACTTGCTTAGGTAGGGCAAGTTCCTCTGCTTCTCTGCCTCAGTTTACTCACCTCTAAGAAGGAGGAGAATGCTAACACATCCATGGGGAAAAGAGCAGCATATCCAAAGCCCTGAGGTAGAGCTGTGCCCTCGCATCAATCAGTCCCCAATTCTGCCTGGGACATTTTCTGACCAGGGCTGGAAGGGCCGTCGGGAGGAGGAACCCGCCCCTTGCAAAGGCTTGGGGATGAGCAAGGGGTTGGCACATCAGGGGTACGAGTGAGGGCTGGAGAATTCTCGAAGACCGCTGCACTGGAGCTGGGAGAGGAACCACTGGGGAGAGATTTGAGACCACAAGTAAACTAAGACATCCCCACATCCTCCTTCCAGTGGAGGCAGCCAGGCCAGTCCAGCCTCCCGGACTTGCTCGCTCAAGCCCCAGTTACATCGCCCGGCATCTCGGAGCCCAGCTGGACCCCTCTGCTTCCCTCGTCCTTTACTGGGGAACATCCCACAGTGGCCTTAGAGACCCCCGTGATCCCTCAGGCCTAGGTAAGCGTCTGAGCAGCTCTGTGCCTCAGTTTACCCATCTGCAAAATGGGAAACCGGTCGTTCCTTCCGCACCTGTGAATTGCAGGGCCGTGCTTCATAAACGCTTGACATTATACTTATTACGGATGGTCGTGGTGATTAATCAGAGGGCAGAAAGAGCATCCCCGGAGTCTGACACCCCCGGCCTCGGTCCCGGCGTCTCTCTTCCCCTGCCCCCTGCAGAGCCTCAGTTTCCCCACCGCAGACCCGAGGGGCGCGCGGAGGCGGCCCGGGGTCCCCGCGCCCCTCCGGCCGGCAGGGGCAGCACGGAGCCGCCCCGCACACCCGGAAGGGCCCCGCCTCCGGCCCCGGCCCCGCCCAGCCCGGGCAGCCCAGAACAGGGAGGCGGCGGCGGTGGCGGCGACCACAGCGGGGACGGTGCGCGCGGCGGCATCGGCGGGACCCGCGCGGCGCCATGGCGGCCGCCGAGCGCCGCGCCTTCGCGCACAAGATCAACAGGTAGCTCCGCCGCCGGGCCCCTCCCGGGGACACCCGCACGTGTCCGGGCCCCGCCCCGGGGTGGCCCGGCCCTCCCCGGCCCCAGCGTCCCTCTCACCGTTCAAGCCCCTTCCGCCGGCTCCGGCCCGCTTCCTCTGGCGGGGGCCGGGGGCGGCGGGAGGCGGGGAGGGCGGCGGGGGTCCCCGCTGGGACCGCGGCGGGGCTGCGAGTGCGATGGCGGCTGAGCGGAGGTCCGCCCTGGGCGCCGCTGGGGGACGCGTGGGGGCGTGTCCGGGGGCCTTCCTGGAGGCGGTGGCGCGGGGAGAGCAGGTATCGGGAGCCCTCCGCGTTCCTCGCCATCTCCGGGTCCTTCCTGGGTCCCCGAGTCCGAGGGCTAGGGAGCAGTAGGGGCTTTGGCGACCCATCCTCTTGCCTGGTGCGGGGTTGGGATGCTCCTGGGGCCGGGATTTGGGAACAGGGATGGTACTCTTGGAGGCCTTGGAGGCCCCTCGGGAAGGTTCCCGTGCTCTTCCCCCACTGTCAGGGTCCCGTGCCCAGCTGTCTGGGGAGCAGGGGACAGCTGTGGATGGCCCCCCGCCCCCCGCCCTGCTTCAGGCTCTCCCAGCACCCGCTGGACGCGCTGGAGATGGATGGGTGATTGAATGGAGGGAGTGGGGGCTGGGGGCCCAACCAGCTGGTGGGCAGACGGGGGAGGGGACAGGCGCCAGGCGCTGGGGGATCCATTTCCGTGGCCACTGGAGATTGTAAGAGACTCAGCCTGGAAGGGGGAGGTCAGACCAGGGCTGAAGAGCCTCTCCCCTGTCTTTGCCTCCATGGCCAGTCGGAGTTGGCCCCCCCCCCGGCGGGTCCTCTCCTCAGGGGGCCTGTGCTGGCCACGCCCAAGTGAAAGAGCTCCCTGTCTGTCCAGAGCTGGCCTGATGGAGACACAAGGAAAGATCCACCCTTGGTGGCAGATACAATGGGGTAGACAGAGGAGTAGCACAATCAAGTAGATTATATATTAATGATAAGTGCCAGTGCTATGGGGACACACATGGCAAGGAAAGGAAATGGGTAGGATGGGGACCATTTTAGATATGGGAGGCAGATCAGGAAGGCCTGGATGATAAGGTGACATTTGAGCAAAGTTCCGAAGAGGTGATGGAGGCATCTGTGCCCATATGTGGGGGAAAAGCAATCCCAAAATGGGGGAAGGGCAAGTGCAAAGGCACTGAGGCAGAAGCAGACATAGTGTATTTACAAATAAATCATCTGACTGTCTGGAGCAGAGTGAGGAAGGGGACAGTTGGAGCAGATCCCTCAGGGTCTTGTGGGTTGTGGGGAAGACCTTAATTGGTATCCTGAGTGAGGTGGGAGCCATGAGGAGTTCTGAACAGAGGTCACACATGTAACCATGTGTCTGGAGCATAGCAGTCAGGAAATTTTTATGTTCTTTTATTTTTATGTTCCCGAATTGCCTCTCTATCTTGGACCTTTGGCTTCTCTGAACCTGTTTCTTTGCCACTCAGTCTCTGTGTTCTTGGTTCCTGGCTTCTACTCCAGTAAAAAAGAGAGGTCCTAGGGTCCTGCCCTGGGGAACAGATACTATAGAGCCCAGGGTAAGAAGAGCAGAGAATGTTCCTGGGACCCCAGTGAACCACAAGCAAAAGGTTCAAGTCTTCCAGCCATCCTCTGCCAGGGCCTCCATAACAGCCTGTTGGACACCCAGGTGTCTACATGCTCAGATCTGGGCCTGAATTCATCTAGTCAATCATTCAGTCATTCATTCCGCAGTGCCATATTGACCCGGATATTAAACAGCCCCCCAGTTTCCTAATGAACAGATTCTTAAAAAAAAAAAAAAAAAAAAGACTGGGGGGACAACTTAAAACTACAAACTCTTATAAATGTAAATAACATGGACAAACATTACTGTAGTGATATAACGTGTTCATTTTTTCACAAATAAAATACAATATGGAATGGCAGTAATGGCCAGCGCTCACAGTATGTTTATGGCTGGCTTGTTCCCAGCGGAAATGCCATTTGTGTGTCACCAGAGCCTGTCGACATAGGTATAACTATGGAAAATGGGACTTAACAGTGGTTAGGTGGCTGTCGAGCATCTCTCGTGGGGAAGTGAGCCCAGAAGCGTGGGGCCACAGAATTCAGAACAGTCTCAGCAACCGTGTCACTCTTCCTGTCCTCATGTATCCCCCGTTCTTCCAGGCATCTGATTGTGGCATCTTCTCTCGCCACCCCCTCCCCCCCACCCCCACCCCCCGGTATCTGATGCGGGGCCGGTGGCATTTTTCACTCAAGGAAATAGTGACTTCGTTGGAGGCGTGGGAGGACAAAGAGACGCGTATTAACCAAATTCCAAAGGTGCCTCTGGGATTTCAAGGAAATGGCTCCCTCCCACCCCTGTCCCCAAATATATCTGCAAACTTGAGCACACACACGTATTATTCTACTTTCATTTTTTAAAAAGATTTTTTTTATGTGTTTGAGAGAGAGAGAGAATGAGAGTGAGTTAGCATGAGAGGGAGAGGGTCAGAGGGAGAAGCAGATCCCTCCTGATCAGGGAGCCCCATGCAGGATCTGAACCCGGGCCTCCAGAATCTCGACCTGAGCCAAAGGCAGGTGCTCAACCAACTGAGCCACCCAGGCGCCACTATTTTCTGCCTTTAAAATAATGGTGACATTTGACATGCATCTAGAAAAGTCCAAAGTTTAAAGAGTAGTTATAGAACCAATGCTGGGGTGGTGGGGGGATGCCTGGCTGGCTCGGTTAGTGGAGCATGGGATTCTTGATCTCGGGGTCATGGGTTCGAGCCCCACACTGGGGGTAGAGTTTATTTTTAAAAGAATTAAAAAAGCAGGGGCATCTGGGGGGCTTAGCTGGTTAAGTGTCTGCCTTTGGCTCAGGTCATGATCCCAGGCTCCTGGGATCAAGCCCTGCATCGGTCTCCCCACTCAGCAGGGACTCTGCTTCTCTCTCTGCCCCTCCCCCTGCTCATGTTCTCTCTCTCTCTCTCTCTCTCTCATTCTCTCCCTCAAATAAATAAGTAGACTCTTTTTTAAAAATTAAAAAACAAGGGGCACCTGCTTCCCCCGCCTCACTCTGCCTGCCTCTCTGCCTACTTGTGATCTCTGTCTGTCAAATAAATAAATAAAATCTTTTAAAAAAATTAAAAAACAAAACAACAACAATAAAACAACAAATGTCAGGGGAAAAGTCCCTCGGGTCAAGACAAAGGCAGTCTCGATCTCCTGGGCCACCCAACCTAGCTGCCTCTCATGATCTGCACCTAGTTCTGTCCCTTAGCCAACTGCACACTGATGGTGGCTACCCTCTCTTCCTCACTTGAGTTATGATGTCTCCTGCTGAGCTGGGTCCCTCTGTGCCATGGGCTACTCTTGCCTGTTTAGAACGTCTCATCAATGGAATCATGTTGGGTGTCGAGGCTTGTGTGGCCCAAGTCTCTCACCCAAGCCATTGCCTGCGGTTGGGTGCATCCTTTTTCATTGCTGCATACTATTCCTCCCACTCACATTGTCTCCGTCTTTGGTCAAGGAACATGTGCGTCTTTTCCTTTGGGGTTGTCATGACTGGGCTGCCAGGAACATTCCCAGCCACATGTTTTATCCCGAGTGTCTACGCCTCTGAGTGGAATTGCTGGACTGGTTTATCTTCAACTTTGCTCCGTCATTCCAGACGATTGTCCAAAGGGCTTTCCCCAGCAGCAGATGAGAGTTCCTCTTACTTACAGGCAGATCATTTGTCTTTAAAATGTGCAGCCAGTCCAGGAGGGCTTGGGTGGGATATAAAGAGAAATCTCCATGGTTTTATATGGACTCATCTTCCCTCACTTTTTTATCCAAGTGGGAACACATAGCGTCAGAGCCTTATGTCATTCTCATTTCTGGTTTTATTGTCCTCCTCCCCTGGAGGGAGTAGACCTCTGTTAATCTGCCCAGCCTTGGGGTGAGGTCTGCAGTCTCACAGGAATTCCCAGTGATGCCACTGCTTCATCTTTCCCCTCTGAGTGTCTGTGTAGTGTCCCGTAGGATTGCTGACTTTCAGCTTAGGGGGATTTGTTTCCCTAGTAGCTCTAACCCACCACCTGATCTCAGCAGTTTCTCTCATTGCAATCCCAAGATCACTTCCTGAGGAAAACCAGTATATTTAGACCACATTTTGCCTCCTTCTAAAAAATATGCTCCCTGGGGGTGTCTGAAGCAGATCTGATGTGGGCATGAGAAAGAGAGAGGAAGTGGGGATGGCTCCCAGGCATGGGTCCTGAGCAGCCCAGAGGGCGGGGCTGCCCTTAGGGATCCAGGGAAGATGGCAGGAGGGCAGGTTATGTTCAGGGTACATGCCTGCATGACCCCACATGGGCATGCAAAGGAGGCAGCTGCCACCCAGAAGGGATCCAAGGATTGTCTTTGTTTGGGTGCTCCTGAAACCTGGAGGCTGCATGGGACCCCTGTGGGGGATGGTAAGTGTGGACACGGAAGAGATAGGTTCTAGGACCCCTGTTCTTGGCCCTGCTTCCCATCATGGGCAATGTGGAGTACCGTGTGCTGGGGGGGCACAGACTCACTTCTGGCCCACAGGGGTTTGATTCTGGGCACCTAACCACGTTCAGCTCTGTGAGCCCAGATGCCTCCTGCCCCTCTCTGAGCCTCGCTCACCTCCTGGGCCCCTTCCGGCCCAGCAGAAAAAGCAAGGCCAGAAATTCCAGTTTCCCAGGATCCTTTTAAGATAACTTAGTGACAGCAAGCCTTAATCGAGCACTTACTATGTGCCAAGCCTTAAACTCAGAACAGTTCGATAAGATGTGAGTACCGCATTGAGCCCAGAGGTCCAGAGAGGGGATGGCACTCATCCCTGCTTGCCCAGGTCCAACTGCAGAGCCTGGTGACACAGGAAAGTGGCTCCTGTGGCCACAG